TCTTGCCCGCCTCCCCGCCTTCTCGTCCGCCTCTCGCCCGCCTCTCGCCCGCCTCGTCGCATTCTCGTCCGCCTCTCGCCAGCCTCCCCGCCTCTTGTCGCCTTCTCGCCGGCCTCCCTGCCTTCTTGCCCGTTTCCCGTCGCCAACACGCCGCCCGCCGCGCTCGCAAGTGCGCTCGTCGCCCCCAGCCAGTCTCCGCTCACCGCGCTCGCAAGTGCGCTCGCCAGCACGCTGCCGCTCGCAAGCGCGCTCACCGCCCCACTCGCAGGTGCGCCGCCCGCTACGCTCACAGGTGTGTTGCCCACCACGCTCCCAGGTGCCCCGACCCCGCGCTTGCAAGTGCACCGGCCCATGCGCTCCCAAATGCGCCGGACGCGGTGCCAGCAAGTGCGCGGCCCATCGCCTCTCGCCGCCTTCTTGCCTGCCTTTCGCTGGCCTCTCGCCGGCCTCCCCGCCTTCTCGTCCGCCTCCCTGCCTTCTCGCCCGCCTTTTGCCTAGCCTCGAGCGAGGGCCGCCAACGCGGTTTCGCTCAGCGGAGCTTTCTACTCTCGCGCCCAACCTTCGCCCCGCCCCGAGCGAGAGCCGCCAACGCGCTCTCGCTCGGCGAAGATTTCGCTCCCCGCGCTGACCATTCGCCCAGCTCCCGAGCGGGAGCTGCCGACATAGTCTTGCTGGGTGCGGCCTCCCGCCCGCAGACGCCCTTCCGCCCGCAGACGCCCTTCCTGCCCTCCTTCGCTACCGCCCTCCTTTCCCCGCCTCCCGCCTGCCTGTTACCAGTATGTGTACAAAGTAAGCTCATGATGGTACATATGTATAAGTAGCATAATTATTATCACAATTCTGTGTAAGTCTGAACGAATCGTGTCTGGTTGAGCAGACTTGTACTAGAACAGAGTGCTATATCTGGTGTCAAATGCAACAAAGTGTTAAGTAATGCAGCAAATGTGAGCATCGTGTGAAAATATATGGCAAATTTGCAACAATATGTTGATGCTCACAAAGGGACTTAATTAATTTTACAAACAGTTCAAAGATCTCCAATATATCTAATATGTACATATTTGTCACAAGAAGACAAAATATGTACATATGGGACAAAGTTGAGCATAATGTTGAGAAATTGTCAGGAGGTACTTTTCCTGATGGAAGTGGAAGCTCACGAGCGATCGAAAACGTCTGTGGACTCTACCCTTACCAAGTATCGCGTCAAGCAGCACTCGCAGACCAATGGATTGTCTTGGTTTATCCTTTGACTGTAACCTCTTCGTGATTGTCAAGGGAGTTGCGACAACTTGCAACGGACAGTAACTTACATGCCGTGACGTCATTGCACAGGGTGCTTCTTCCAAAATTCCTTGCTCGAAGAAATGTCATGCCCATCCCGCGCGGAAGCATGACGGGACTCCTTGGTCAAACATTATTAGTGCGTCTCTTCGTGGCGTTCGGTACTTAAGACCCTAGATGGCTTCCACTGATTGTATCGAAGAACTCCCCAATGTTACTGACGAAGACCCCCCGTCTGCTGCTGATGGCTGCATGTATCGCAGCCTCGCTCAACCTGCCTACGTCTGTTGCTAGACAGGATGTCCACCTTGACAACGCTTGCGCGTGCACCATGGGCACCATCCCGGTCGCGGTTGATGTGCATATACCAGCTGATCCGACTCTGCCATTGAGTACCACAGACACAAGACGTCTGCACCGTACGTTCGACGTTTTTGGCATTCTGTGTCAACCGAGCGGTGAACCGGCCGACTCTTTGGGTTAGTACTCGGTCATTATCTCGTTATCTCTCGTGTTCTGACGTGAGTCTCGTTCTATCAGACCGCGTCCAAATCCTGCTGCATGGTGACACCTACAACAGCGCGTACTGGAATTTCCCGGTCAGCGGGCTTCAAAATTACTCTTACGTCGCCTATTCTTGCGAACGCGGGCTGTCGTCGTTCGCATTTGACATGATCGGGGCCGGCCTGAGCACGCGCCCCAACTCGTCGGATATCCAGCTGTTCATTTCCGGGAATATCACGGCTTCTCTATTGGCGATGTTGAAGGATGGATCGATCAGCCACGCCCTTGGAGGGCAGGGGACGAAGTTCCCGAAGGTTATCGCTATTGGGCACTCGCTCGGGGCAGTAACCTTCAATTGGGCCGCGATCGCGCTCGGCGCCCGCGCACCATTCGACGCATTCATAGCGACGGCGCATATCCACGATCCGGGATTTCTTGTCGGAATAGACGTCCCCCTCTTGCCAGCGAACGAAGTAGACCCGCTCCGGTGGGGCGCCCTCGATTCGGGATACATCACAACCCCGAACATCTCCGCTCGCGCATCTTTTTACTCTCCGGACAACAGCACGTTCTCACCCCAAGTGCTCGCGATCGACGAATTGACGAAGGACGTGGGCTCCTCCGCCATTTCCGTAGGCCTCAGCGCGATTTACGAGCCCGCGACAGGATACACAGGTCCTGTGGCGGTCATCGTAGGCGAGAAGGATCAGGTCCACTGCGACAGCGCAGCGAACAACTTCGTGCCTTGCAATGCCACGGGCGTCCTAGCGCTGGAGCAGCCGTTCTACCCGGATTCGAAAAACGTTACCGCATTCGTCATTGAGGACACGGGTCACGACCTGGATTTCCACTTCAGCGCGAACGAGACGTTCGACCTGTCTGTTGAACTGGTCAGGAAGCCTGTGTGAATATCTCAACGATGGAACGTCCACGGTTTCGATATGTTGTGGATCACAGCGTTGTTGTATTCTCCCGTTTGCATACGCGTATTCCGGATGCTTGGAGGTGAACATGATCGCCGTGACAGTATAATGAAATGGTATGCACGTCATCGCCTCTGACCCTCCCTGGAACATTTGGCGCCTAGCGAAGTATCCATCGGAATCGTTCACCGGCCAGAGGGTCGCGGTGTGTACCATATTCCATGTCCATGACGATACGGACGTGTAGTGGTCAAGTCGATGGGAAGGGGGGATTCCAGGGGACTGAGGTTATTGCATCGTCTTCAAAATATGAAACCGATCCCTTGGTTTCAAGGGATTTGTTGCACAGGATCGAACCCGGGAATAGATTGGCAGTGGGCGAAGCCGCATAGATGCGAGGTTGCAACACGTCCACAGTGTGCACCAGCCCGTCGAGCACAGCAATCGGAAGATAGACGCTCTATTCAAACCGATGCTCGTCCATCTATCTGATGCTCATCACCGAGCACTGCTGCTCTGTCCGACCAGTACTAGCCTGTGTCGACACCACGCTGGCATATGGACAATGCATATTTGGCCAGATTATATTTCCAACGTCAGCCGTTCTGAAGCCGTTCTGAAGACCAAAATAGCAGAAAGGCGCTCTTGGGACGAAGTCGGACGTGGTGAAAGGCAAGGGCGATCTCGGCTATTAATAACGGATACAGGGGGGTTGCATAGCCACATTGCTTCACGAAATTCTTGCGACCATGACCTCCTCCTTAGCGGGACCTATAGCATCCACGTCGACTGCAAGCACCTCTTCACTTTCTACGGTCCGCCTACAGACGGACGCGAGCGTTGCTATCTGTTCTATATGCAATTCTACCGCGCCGAAGTACACCTGCCCGCGCTGCGCGACGCGAACTTGTTCCCTCGCCTGTTCCAAAACCCACAAGTCGTCGTACAACAACGGTGCGGGATGCTCCGGCGAGCGCGATAAAGTGGCCTACGTGCCGATGAGCGGGTACGGGTACAAGGAGCTCATGGGCGACTACGTCTTCCTCGAGGACCTCGGTCGAAAGATCGGTGGGTGGGGCCGGGAGATCACGAAGTTGGAGGGAGGTTACAATGGGGCCCCGAATACGTCAGGATTTACGGGAGTAGCGGAGCGGATGCGGGTAGATGCCAGAGGGAGGGGTAGAGGGAGGGGAAGGGGAGGAGGAGCCACGGCGGGGAAAACGAGGACGAAGCGGGACATGCTGAAGATGCAGCTGGACCTTCGGGATATCGACATGGAGGTCTTACCGTTGGGCATGGAGAAGCGGAAAGCCAACCAGTCGACTTGGGATTTCAAGTACGAGCGCACGATTACGCGACTCAAGATCATGTATATTGACGGAAGTTCGTTGCGATTGGCAGACACAAGACAGCGCTGCTCACCCTCGAACTCGTCTTCCATCGCCCACCACACATCCTCCTGTCGTCGCCATCACCGGACAGATACACCCTCTTAACACACCGCAACAGTCTCGACATGCCCCTGCTCATTCACATACGACGAAACATCAGCGAGCGCGTGCAGAAAGCCAAAGCAGACTCGGGCAGCGGCATACCGCCCTGGGTACACGATCTCGCCTGCCCCGACGACAACGCGGATCCGGAACTCCGCACCGACCCCCCTGCCTGTTATCTGCGTACCGAGCTTGACCCCCAACATATTTTGGCGTCGCTTTCCACCGCCTCCCAGGCGTCGCATGTTCCGCTCCTACCGAACCTTGCCGCTAACAAACCCCCTGACGAGACACCGCGGCCCGCGCCTGCACCGCGGTACGGATACACAAAACTCGATCCGTCGCAGAAGCTCTCCTCCACGCTCCGCGGCAAGCGGTTCGTCGAGTATCCGACGATCGAGATATGGGAGGACGACGACGCGTTCGACGGCGTGCTGGTGGACGAGAGGAGCGGTGGCGCCAGAGACATGCGTACGGACGGGAGAGAGGCGAAGAGGAGGAAGCTGATGGGCAAGGCGCAGGGGAAGAAGGCGATCTCCGGCTTGCTAGGCGGATACGGCAGTGGGAGCGGGAGCGACGAAGAAGGTCCGGGAGATGACGCCGCCAGAAAGGAGGGGGCGGGTGCGATGGACGGGTTGCTGGGCGGCTACGCAAGCGCGAGCGAAGGGGAGGAGGCTAAAGCTGAAACCGGGCCTGGGCACGGGACGGCTGCGGTGTTGCAAGCGCTGCAGAGAGACGGCTTCGTTGCCTCCGGCATGCAGAGCGACGACAGTGATACGGAGGAAATGGAGGAAGATCCTGTTGCCCTGGCTGCTACGCTCCGGAACCTGCAGGGCCCAAGAGCATTCGATGAGGGCGAGGAAGACGAGGAGCTCGACTGGGCGGAAGACGCCGATGAACTCGAATAGCCGGTGCTGTCCGAGCGGACTAAGAGCTGCGTTCGCGCCCTGGATGCGTTCTCTATGTCATCTGCTTGACGAGGGACTCAGAGATCCTGGCGGCGCAAGTCCAGAAGGCCCTTCATGAGCAGTTGAACCTCCAGAACAGCCTGCACCGCTTGGGCGAGCGGCGTCTTCGCATTTTCGAGTGGCGTATCCAGCGTGCTGCGCACTGGCGTCGCGGTCTTCACCTCGACTTCCCACAGGGTTTCCACCTGCGCCGGTATGGGCTGGTGCGTTACGGGGTGCACCTGCCAAGGGAACAGTCGAATAAGTGGTGGCACACGATTGGATGCGTCGGAATTGCGTACATGCTCCTGTTGAAACATTTGAATGACCAGTTGCCCCTTGCGAAACACGTATCCACGTTTGTAAATCTCGTTTCTCTGGCTGTAACGGTGCGATCAGGTGCGAGGAAAGGGCAGCTTATTGATTCGAATACCTACACGTAACCTAGAGCAGACGCGAAGTCCAACGCGTCTCCGACGACGGAGACGGTCGCCCAAGGTCTGACCGTCGCCTCAGGGTACGTCTTCACAGATTCTGGTTTCAGGTACGAGTACAGAACCCTGTGCTTAGGTGATGCGCGCATGAGATATTCTTCGTCTGCACGAGAACAGGCGCGAGAGTTTCCATACCAAGTAGGCTTCTCGTCCAGCAGTTCCTTCCTTGCACGCAACATAATGGGATCCTGGCCCTTGTCGCGCTGCTGCTGCGCATCGAGAGGTTCGAATACGACCTCGCGCGTGTGCATGGCGTTCGATGATTCCGAGTGCAGCGCGATGCGGTTCAAGATCGGCTTCAAGTCTTTTGCAAAGAAGTCGCCGAAGAGAGCAACCTCGTACAGGTGGCTCGACATATTTGTTGATCGACAGCACCAGCGAGTGGTTCCAAGTGGAAGCCAGTGATGGTCAAGCGCCAGGATGATCGTGAGAACACATGCTGTACAGACTGGATCAGAGCCTGGCAGCTGATCAGCGTCCCCGGCGCACCGAAGGGCACTCCATCCGTCCCACTCAAGAGGCCATACCAAAATGGTGAGCCTTTCTGTCCACGAATCGCCGCCGGAGGGCTCTCCTTGCGTCCTTTGAACGCTCAGCCTCGAAAAACGAGCGGTTTTGGATCACGTTGCCATGGATGGCTCTCGGGCGACACGGATGACCTTTCAGTTCGCACATGCTAACACGGAGCTTAACAGGCCAAAGCCAAGGCAGCGCCCCCACCATCATCAGGCGGAAAGTCGGCCAAGAAGAAGAAGTGGTCGAAGGGCAAGGTCAAGGACAAGGCCCAGCACGCCGTGGCCGTCGACAAGCCGCTGTTCGACCGCATCATGAAGGAGGTCCCCGGCTTCAAGTTCATCTCGCAGTCGATCCTCATCGAGCGGCTGAAAGTCAACGGCTCGCTCGCTCGCGTTGCCATCAGGCATTTGGAGAAGGAGGGCCACATCAAGCGGATCGTGCACCACAGCGCTCAACTGATCTACAGTACGTCTCGACACAGCAGTCGCTGTCGTGTCTTATCTGACATATTTCTATCTACAGCGCGGGCAACAACAGGCACCGATTAAACCTGGTTTTCGTGTTCTCGTCTACGGTCCTTCGTCGCTTTCATCATGTATCATGCACCCGCGCAAAACATGCCTCCATGAAACTCCAAAATATTCCGTGTGTTACCGGAGAGCGCTACGCAAGAATGTGTTTACTAACGTAATATGCCACCGAGAGTGCCTGAGTTAAGAGCGATTCCATGCGAACCCACCTAAGCGTCCAGCCAGTGTTGTCTCATGCTCATTCCTCTATCATCCGCCAGGCGATTGCATTTAACGGTGGAAATGTGCTGAATATCGTCATTCCTCCGTGAGATAGTCCACCAAGAATGTCGCCAGGAAGCTTCCAACCACCTGACCTCCATCACTTGCACCGAGCTTGCTCTCTCAACAACGGTAGACACCAACGCCTCCTCCTGCAGAAGGCAAAGCAGTGTTTGCTCGAATGGAGCGCCGCCAGCGTCGACCACCAAGCAAAGATAAGTCATCGACAACGGAGCCAAGAAACCGGGAAGCGCTTCCTGCGGCAGAATATCGACATCTTGTTGCGACGCGACATGTGAGATAACTCACCATGGCCTTGCGCAATTGGTCCAGGTAACTCTGCGAGCGCGCGAAGAGCTCCAGATGCAGAACGCGCAACGAACCCCGCGTGGCGGACGCGAGCTCCTCAAAGAAGCGCCGCAACCTGGGTATCGAGGAGGGCCGCAGACGGAAGGTCAGCGACGCCGGCGACGTCGCGCGGACCAGGCCGAGGAAGATCTCGGGATCGGGGTCGTCGTCGACGTCGAGGAAGTGGCTCGCCATGAACGACGTCTTCTCGTTGACCGACGTGCGCGCCAGCTCGACGTGCCGCACGGCGGGAGGACACGCGCCCGGCGCGTTCAACCCCAAGTTGTGCACGGCGGCGACGTCGACCAGCAGGTCCTCCAGCTTCGTCCACGGCGTCGACCCGGACCGGCTCGCGGCCTCGTCCGTGTTCCACGACCGCATCTCTGCCCGCTTCTTCAGCCCGTCGAGCGCGCGCAGGCGGCGGACGTTCGGGAAGGCGCGCGCGAGCGGCCCGCGGCGCAGGAGCACGTTCTGCAGCGTCAGCTCCGTGACCTCGGGCCAGACGTACTCGCCCTCCTCCGCGTCGGCGCCGGCGGGGAACTGTGCTTGGGAGGCGAAGATGCCGGTGGAGAGCGAGAGCGCGCGGAGCGTGGCGCGGTGCGGCGCGAGCAGCGGGCGGACGTCGAAGTCGCCGACGTCGAGGCTGAGCTCGCGCAGGCCGCGGCCCGGGGGCCATTGCGCGAGCATCTGGCACGCGCGCGCGCCGGCGCCGTCGAGGTCGAGGCGCGCGAGCTGCGGCGTGGAGCACGAGAGCGCGCGCGCGATGCGCGGGTCGCGGGAGAGGACGTGGTCGGCGAGGCGGACGTCGAGGTGCGTGAGGCGCGGGGCACCGGCGAGGACGGAGGCGAAGCGCTCGCCGGCGGGGAAGGAGAGTTTCATGAAGAGCACGCGCGGTTGGCGTACGACGCTGGCGCCGCGTTCGACGGCGAGCGAGCGGAGGTGGCGGAGACGTTCTGGACCCCGTGCGGGGTCGAGCATGTACGCGCAGAATGCGGGGACTTGGTCCGGGTGCGTGAGGCGGACGGAGGAGATGAAATGAGGGAGCGCGAGGTCGTGTGCGGCGCGGTTGCTGAGCAGGAAGGCGTGCAGCTCCCTGGGCGGCTGGACCCAGGAGAGGACGAGCTCGAGCACATCGTGGTTGAGGTCCAGGAGGGATGTGGACCTGGACATGGATGTCGCGCTGTTGTCGTCCTGGGGCCTGCACGGCTAAGCCTCGCTTTATCTACGTACACGTATCGCAGTCGGAGAAAGCAGTTGCCTGCGGTTATCGCACGTCCAACGCGTCAACGGGCTGCCCGGCCCGCGCAGCCGCTGCGCGCTCCTCTGTTAGTTGAAGTTCTCTAGGCGACACCCTCTATATCCCTCTATGACTTATATTACATTGTGAATTTGGCTACGATGGTCCAGCAGAGCCGTTCATGCACTCATTTCGAGGCCTCCTCGATCTGCGCGCGCCAGCGGTACTGAATGTCGATCGCCTCGCGGAAGATCTTGTACTTCGCTTCGAGCAGCTTCTTCTCCTTGGGCGACGCGGCCGGACGCACGATCGTTCCAGAAGGCGTCATCTCGACCTACGCAGAACAGCCCCTCGTCAGCGAGCCGTCTCCCCCCGTCAAAGTCACGCGCGAGCCTTACCATAATATCCCAGAAGCGCTTGCTCTGCTCCTCCGGGCCGAACGTCTTCCCCTTCGCCTCGTCCGCGAACCGGCCGAGCATCGCGGATCCGAGGACGACGGCCGTGCCTCCGTCGGCGGGGAGCACGACCGGCATCCCGCAGCAGTCGGCGAGGAGCTGCATGAGCGCCCTGTTCTTCGCCTGCCCGCCCGACATGTAGATCGCGTCGATCGCGTGCCCGGCGGCGTTCATCGAGTCGACGATGTGCCGCGTCTGGAGCGCGATCGCCTCGAGCGTCAGGTTGAACTTGCGCGCGAGGTCGTGGAGCGTGCTGTCGAGCGCGAGGCCGACGAGCGAGCCGCGCATGCGCGGGTCCGCGATCGGGGACCGGTTCCCGTGCAGGTCCGGGTAGAAGTGCATGTCTTTGGTGATCTCGGTGAAGGAGCCGAGGCCGTCCTTGTCGCGCAGTTCTTCGAGCAGCGATTGGAGGACTGTGCTGGGAAGGTCAGAGGGCGTGCTCTTTTCGATCAGAGTGTGGGTGCTTGCCAGCGTGGATGTTGGTCTTTTTCTGTTCCGCGAGCTCCACGAGGCGGTTGTACGCAGGGTGGGTCTTGATCATAAAGTCGATGAGCTGTTGTCCATGATGAGCCGGCGCCTATACTATAATCATTCCAAGCAACCGTACCTGTCCGGTAGATGATTGCCCACCCTCGTTCATCCACCAGCCGGGAAAGACAACATCCTGATCGACCGATCAGAGCCTAGGGCATAGATATCGGGCAACTTCGCAAGTACCTTGTACGGCCCCCAGACTCCGGGTACGAAGACCGCTTGAGGACTCTAGGTGGCTTCTCGTCAGTCTGAACTCTTCTCCCCCGACACTCTGATAGCTCACGTACCTGGACCACGTAACATGTGCTGGTGCCAGCGACGGCGGCCAGGCGATGGCGAGACTCGTCCACAGACGGATGCTGCCCTTTGTGCTGCCCGTTCTCCGTTATGCTGGCAGCGACGGTACCCAACCAGCCAGCATATCTAGGGACAAAGAGCGAAGCGGTCAGGCATCCCATCGCTTTTTTCGCTGCCGACTTAGCGTGAACATACGCGTCGATCACGCCCGAACCGACGGGCGTGCCCTCGAGGAGGCCGAGCTCCTCCGCCGCGCGCTTGCTCAAGCCCTTGCCGACGGGCATGCCCGCGTTCAGCACGTGCTCCTTCCTCACCGCGCCGAGCTGCCTGAAGCCCTCCGTGACGAACTCGCCGAGGCCGATCTTGTCGAAGAAGTCGGACTGCCAGCCGGCCTCGGAGGGCACGTACGAGCACTTGCACGTGAGCGAGCAGTAGGAGCGCGCGTTGTCCGACGTGGCGCGGTAGGTGAGGAAGTCGGGGAGGTCGAAGAATTGGCAGCGTTTGAAGAGATCGGGGCGCATGTGGTTCTTGAGCCAGAGCACTTTCGGGATCTCCATCTCGAGCTGTGGGGGGGGGGGTGGGGGGTGTGTGCGGAAAAAGACATCAGGACGTCAGCGCGGCTGCGGCGAGAGGGGGAGACTGACGTCGACGTAGAAGGGGAAGCGCGTGTCGGAGGGGGTGGGGGAGGGGGAGGGGGGACGTACGCTCATGGTGCCGCCGACGTACTTGAGCGGGACGGTGCCGGTGCTGTTGATGAGCTCGGCCTCTTTTTCGGCGCGATGGTCGGCCCACAGGATGATATTGCGCTCTCCTCCCGTCCCGAGGGCGTCGCCCTTCGTGACCGTCACCGGCTCCCCGTTCTCGTCGCTCACCGCGAGCGAGCACGTCGCGTCGAAGCCGAGGCCGCGCACGCGCTCCGGGGACACGCCCGACTCGGCGAGCACGGCGCGGACGGTCTTGGCGATGCCGGCCCAGATGTCGAGCGTGGACTGCTCGAAGATGCGGTGGTCGTCCGGGTCGCGCCAGGTCTGGGTCGCGTGCGTGGAGGTGGCGAGGAGGGTGCCGTCCGCTTTGACGAGCCCCGCGCGCGCGGAGCCGGTGCCGACGTCGATCCCGATGTAGTAGCTCTCGCTCGCTGCGCTCGCCATCGTTGTTGTGCGTTGGCGAGGGCGGAGAAGTTGGAGGTGGTGGAGGTGGTGGAAGAGAGGGTATCTTTTTTTCTCGGGCGATCATGGAGTGTAGATTACGATTGGGACAGGCGCGTGAGATGAAGTCATTCGGCGTGCGGGGGGCGGGGGCGGGCCGGCCCGTAGTGCCGGGGCGCGTCTTTGGCTTCTCCTCGACGGGCGCAGCTCAATCCAGTCTTCAAGTTTTTTTTTCTTGTACATCGATCTCAACGTCGAGCTCGGCGTCCTCAATGTCAATCTTTTCTGTCGGGGTCGTTGCCATGGGCGCTACGAAATCAGGCGGGAGTTCTTCAGACCCCTGCCTCGGATCTTCAGACCTTTTCAGTTCACGGAGCATCCTGTACGTTTCCACAGACGGCTACCCGAAACTCACGGCGGTCCACCATGGCACAGAAACTCCCCCGTTCGAAAAGGAGACCCTTCTTGTACGCCTCATGTCCCACTTTTAGGGGGGGGAGGGTTCAGGCTCGCGTTCGCTATAATACGTCACCGATCGTCCACGCTCTTCTCGAAGACACCCCCCCCTTCGCACCTCGCATTCGGTATTCCTCTTCCCGTTCGAAGGGATATCATCAAAGCCTGCCTGCGTTCTAGGGGTATCTTCAGAAGTTTTCGACCCAGACGCTGGGCAAAAGGAATGCACTCGCTCATGCTGGTGCGGGATCCGGTGAACGGCCTGAATCACACCTTTGGGCAAGGCATGCAACGGATGGATTTCACGAAACAAAAACGCAGGCTTCCGAGATCTACGCAAAAGATTTTATCGCTCCTCCGCTCGTTACGCCGGTAACTTCGTATAAGTAACACATCGTACTAAAAAAACTTCCCCGATTTTTTCTTTTCCGGAAGTGAGATCGATGCTTAATTTCTGGTATGTACGTGCGCGGCCCGCGTCTTGAGCTATACGTAGGGGTCACACTGACTCTCATTTCTGATAGGGTGTGAAATATCTGGCCCTGCCGATCAGCTGGGCCAAAAATCGTTGCATCAAATGCGCTCGGTATATATATATATTGTATCATCTCCAAGGCGCGGGGGCACACCCCTCATAAGCTTCATCTCAACGGAACGTGCATGAGCGACACCCGGGCCCGAAGAAACGATCTGCCAAAATATGATCCGCATCAGGGGCCCGCCTTCGTCGTTTCGTCGTCAAGCGCGAAGGGTCCTTTTCGGACGACGACGACGACGACGACGACGGAACTTGATTTACGGTATGTGTACGACGGTCTTGAGGAAGGGGGGCAATTTGAATGAAGCGATTTGGCCGGCGCCCCCGGGAAAAGTCTGGCAGTTCGGGTTCTTTTCTGGACTTGGGGGGGCCTGACATGTATTAGGACAGACTACTTATATCTCGGCTGTCGTGTGCTCTAGATCCCCCCCCCCCCTCGAAAGGGTGAGATCTCGAGATGGAATCTCAGTCGGTGTGTTCTCGTGAATCAGGGGGGAGGGCGGGAGGGCAAGAGAAGGATTCCCGAAAGAAGGGAGCAAGTAGTGATCGCATCGTTTCTCTCCAATCGCCTGGGGCAAGGGTTCGCTGAGCTGAAAGGAAGAGAGAGATATGTACACAAGGGAAGGTGGGATGCGCGCGGGGCCGGTGACCAAGGACGGCGCAGCGATAGCGGCGGACCTAGATCAGATGTGTTATGGGCGGAAAAGAACGGCGCGTATGGCGTTTTCCATTGGGTTCCGGGGGGCGGTTAGCACAGAGACACCAGTGTGCTATCACCTCCGCCCCCCCCTCCTCTTGTCCTCCGCCTCCTCCCTCGCCGCCGGTGTGTGGCGTCCTCTCCTCTCCCCGCGCCCTCGAGCGGGGGGGGACGAGTGCGTGACGGTGATGACCAACGGTCCGCAGTGTGGCGGCCTTAGGGTTAGGGGCGCGCGCCGTGGCCCACCCACGCTCGCCTCTCCCCCTCGATTCTCGCCCGATACCCCCTCCCGCCAGCCCGCCGCCCCCGCCCCCGCCCCAGCCACACACGCCGCACATCCTAGGCTCCCCCGCCGCACGCCGCCCGCGTTAAACCCCGGCACCACCCGCTCGCGACGGCGCCGGAGCCAGCAAAAAAGGCGAGGCACCAAAGGACACAGCAAAAACTCATCATCCCCAGCCCGGGTGCAGTATCACGGCCAGGGAGGTAAACGGACCCGCCCCCATCGACCGCGCCGAATTACCCGCCAAACCGCGACCACGAACCCCTCCACGCGATCGCCGGGCTGCGTAGCCACCCGTCCCGCCCGATAAACCCCATATACCGTCTCGGGGGTATACACAATGCTCCACCTCGATCGCGGCACCGCGGCCGCGCAGGTCCAGGTCCAGTCCGCCCTCGCGAGCCCGAGCCCGAACCCGAAGATCCTGCCGCGTACGACTCGGCGCGGGCCCTGGCAGCAGCAGCAGCAGCAGAACAATAACGTCAAAGCGACCAACAACGCCAGCAACGCCAACAATGCCACCCACAACGCGACCCAACCCCCGCCGCCGCCGCCGCCTTCCACGGCCGACGCCGACGCCGCCCCCGCCCCCGCCCCCGCCTCGCCTTCTTCGCCCTTATCCTCTACCCCGGCCTCGCCTCGTCACACGCATTCGCAGCCCGGCGAGGGAGGAGAGGGCGAGCAGGGAGGAGGAGGGTTAGAACAACCGGACGCGGCGCAAGAACCATCGCCGCCGCCGCCGCCGCCCGGCGCCAGCGCGGAAGCAGAACCCCATCCAGGGCCCGCCGAAGCCGCCTCGCGCCAATCGTCCCCTCTGAGCGAGCTGTCCACCGCGCCCGGCGACTCCTCCTCCTTCCTCGAGAGCGGCGCGGACGCACCGGCGGCACCCGCCGACGCGTCGTCCAGCGAACCGACCGCCGCCATGGACCCGTCCACCACCGCCTTCACCGCCAACCGCAACGGGGCGGGAGGAGAACCCGGCCCGTCCTCGTCCTCGTCCGCGTCCTTGTCAAAACCGGCCTCTCCCACGCCGGGAGGCGGCAAGTCGTCGTCGTCGTCGTCCGGGACTCCGTCCGCGTCGACGCAGCAGCAGCAACCTCGACAGCAACAACAACAACAACAACAACAACAACAACCCGTCGCCGGCCCCTCGTCTCCCAAAAAGCCGGACGCGCAGCTGCCTGGCGTCGGCACGCCGCGTCTCAAGTCCGAAGACCCGTCCACGCGGCATGCGTCCCTCGCGCCCGCGCCCGTGCCGCCACCGCCGCCCGCGAGCAAAGCCGCCGCGCTGCTCGAGATCAACTCCGAGCTGCTCAAGTACGTTTCTCTCTCTTCCCCCTCCCCTTCCTTCCCCCTTTTTTTCTCTCTCTTCCGCCTCACCGTGTCCTCTATATATGCGCCTGCGCTCTGGACTGACGTGCTTCTTTTTCGTAGGGCATGCGAGCTTCTCCAATCGCAGAACCCCATATCCGCGGATCCTCGATCAACAGAGTACGCGTACATATCCCATGTCTGTTCTCGGCGGCATCCCTGACCCCCCGTCTCCGTCTCATAGATACGTCGCCCGTCTACAAGAAAACCTGACATGGCTCGCCGCCGCCGCCGACTCCAACACGCGCGGGAACGTGAGTCTCGTCTCCCCCCTCCCGTCCGCTGTAACTCCCTCGTTCGCTCACCCGCTGCACGAACCCAGGTGCAACACAACATACCCTTACCTACCCTCCGCCCGCCGCCACCGATGGAGTCCCTCGGGCCCGCCGTGCACCAGCGCCTCGCGCAGCTGTACACCCATCTCCCCTCCCTCTTCGCTAAAGACATTGCGCGGCGGCACGGCCAACCCCACCCCGCGCCCCACTTACCTCAACACCTCCAACAGCAGCAGCAGCAACAACAACACCAGCAACAGCAGCACATACAGTCGCCCGGCGACCCGTCGAGCAACCATCATAACGCGAGCTTGAAACGCGAGCGCGGCGCGGAGGACGTTTCCTCGGCCGACGATCCTGCGCGCAAGCGGCAGGCGACGGGTACGCCCGGTCCGGCTCCTGGCACGCCCCAGTACCCCACGCAGCAGCAACAACACCAACAACAACACCAACAACAACAACACCAGCAGCAACACCAGCAGCAGCAGCACCAGCCGCAACCGCAGCAGCACCAGGGAATGATGCCGCCGCCGCAGCTCCCGCCCGGGATGTCGCGCGCGGGGAGCGCGCAGCCCGCTGCTCCGTCGCCGCGGCATCATGCGGGCAGCCCCGCGCTCGGCGTGGATCCCCAGCAGCAGCAGCAGCATGGGCTTAACGGCGCGGTGCAGGTGCCTGGTACGCCGCGCGTTGGTAATGGCTTGGTGCGGTCCACGCCGACGCCGGCGCCTGTTGCGTCGACGTCGACGTCGACGGGCCAGGGTCAGGGTCACGGACAGTTCCAGCCCCAGCCCCAGCCCCAGACCCAGCCGCAACACCTCCAGGGTCATCAACAAGGACAACCTCACGGGCAAGGTCACGGTCAAGGTCAAGGTCAAGGACAGCAGCAGCAGCAGCAACAGCAGATGCAAGGGCACGCGGCGCAGATCATCGCCGCCTTTGGCCAGAGCGGGCTGCAGCACTTCCAGATGCTGCAGGCGTACCACGCGAACCCGCACGCGCCGAACGCGGGGGGCCCGCTCGTGCAGTATATGCTGGGGAACGTGCAGGGGTTTGCGGGGATGGAGTTGAGGGAGCAGTTGAGGAGGATGGGCATGGTCGCGGCGGCGATGAGGCAGAAGGGGATGGCGCAGCAGCAGCAGCAGCAGCAACAGCCTCAGGGGACGGGTGTAGGGGCTGGAGGAGGTGCGGGTGCGGGTATGATGCAGGGAGGCGGAGGGATGGCGCAGGGCGGAGGGATGGCGGGGATGGGGATGGGGATGGGGATGCAGGGTGGAGGGATGGCGGGGATGGGTCAGATGGGGATGGGGATGGGGATGCAAGGTGGAGGTGGGGCGGGACAGATGGGCATGGTCGGCATGCAGAACCGCGCGGGCATGGGCGCCAACGCGTTTTCCGCTCAGCCGGGACAGATGGCCGGCGCCGGAGGTCAGATGCAGCAGCAGGGCATGCACGGCGGCGCCAATCCGTCGCATCTCAGCCTCACGCCGCAGCAGCAGCAGGCGCTGGGCTCGATGAACGCGCAGCAGCGGCAGCTGTACCTGCTCCAGATGTCGAACCGCGCGATGGCGGGCGGGATGGGCATGGTCGGCGGGATGGGTGCCGGCGCGTCGCAGAACATGGCGAACATGGTCGGCATGGCGCAGGGCGGGATGGGCATGGTGCCCGGCATGAGCGGGATGCCCATGAGCCAGGCCCAGATCGGCATGGGCATGGGCATGGGTATGGGCCCGCAGCACCAGCAGCGGCTGTCGATGGACGGCTCCTCCGGCGCGCTCGACCCCAGCCAGATGCAGATGGGCCAGCCACAGCAAGCACAGCAGCAGCAGCAGCAGCAATCTCCTCAAGCCCACCAGCAACAGTTTGCGGCGCTGCGCTCGAACCCGATGCCGCCGAACATGCCCGGGATCGCGCGCGCGACGCGGACGCCGTCGGACCACGCCGGCTCGCCGATGACGCCGCAGGCGGGCGGGCGCTTCCCGAGCGCGACGCCGGAGGACTATCAGCGCGCGGCGATGATGCGCAGCCGCATGGGCTCCCAGCAGGGGTACCTCATGGGCCAGCAGCAGCAGCAGCAGCAGCAGGCGGGGATGATGATGGGCGGCGCGATGTCGCCTGGCGGGCATACGGGTGGGACGCCGCCGGTGCACGGCGGCGTGCCGTCGCCCGGTGCGGGAGGCCAGGTGTGGATGCAGCAGGGAGGCGGAGGCGGGTACGCCGCGCCGTCGCCTGCGGGCTCGGGCACGGGGTCGATAGACCCCGCGGCGCTGAGCGTGTCGAGTCAGCCGTCGGGGACGCTGCAGCCGATGATGGGACAGGGGAGTCCGACGGTGGACGCGGGTCTCGGTAACGATTTCAACGTCAACGACATGTTCAACTGGACTTGAAGGCCCTGTTTGGATGCACCGTTTCTCCTTGTCGTCTTTACTCTTCTTTTTCTGTGTCTCTCTACTCCATCATACCTCCTCTCTGTGATTCATCTCCTTTCGGTCTCTCTCTTTTTCTCCTCAAACTCATCTAGTATCTGTCCCACGTCGCCACGATCACCTACGCAGTACAAGACGACCCGTGCTATATTGTCCACCATGTAAATCTTCCTGTGGTACTATTGCTCGAATACACACAACTATATTCGGTCATCATTTCTGTTGTCAACGCAGATATTCTGCTGCTTTACCTTGGTGGCAATACTTGGAGGATTGCGCTAATCGGGAAGCTGATGACTGGATATATGCGTGTTGCGCAGCCCGGAAACAGCTGTTAGGCGCCGGCGAACATGACCGAAATGTGCCTCTCATCATCGACGACCGATCTCGCCAGTGCTCGACATCGTCGCCGATGGTGTTCTCGAATCTGACCGACAACGACAAGGGTGCGTTCTTCGCCCTCCTAGACGAGTTGAGTCGTCCCGTTCGCTTGAGGGGCATAGCCCCGTTGAACCCGAGCGCCGATGCCTCATGCAGATACTTTACATCGCGGCCGCATCTATTCGGCGGGGCCTCTGAAAACGAGATCGCCGATGCGCGCGCGGACGCCGCCAAGGTCGTGCTCGGCGGCCTGAAACACGTCTCGTCGCCTGGAGGGCTGATATCATCATCTGCGGTGAGCGCCGCACGCGGACGCATCATTGCTTTCCTGGCCAACGTGTGCCCCCCCGATACTCTCTGTACAGACGAGCACGCATGATGCACATTCACCTTCTGCATTCGCCGCGGGCTTGCGCGCCGTTCAGGCCGCGGCACCCAGGTCGCCCACTCGACCAGCTGCGCCAGGCCGAAGCGGCGGGTCGCCCGCCCCGCCCCCGATGCCGCCCCGGCGGGCGTCCAGCATCGCCAGCGAAGAGGAACCCGCCCACAACGTGCGGCCGTCCAGCTTCGTCGGCAGCCGCGGGCTGTCGCCGGCCCCGCCTCCGCCGATGCCCCCACGGCGCGGTTCAAGCGTCGCCAGCGAAGACGAGCCGCCCGCGGGCAACGTGAAACCTTCCAGCCTAAAAGGCGGTCCTCCCGCCGGCCTCGTCGCCACGAAGGTGTGTGCCGATCCTTCGCCCCATGCTCGTCACCCGATCACCCCAACGCTCGCGTTCTGCAGAAATTCGGGGACGTCGACGTCACGTCCGCGAAGGGGATGTACTCCTCCATCCGGCACGGCACGGTGAACAAAACGGCGAAGCCGCCAGCCGTGACGGTCCCGCCCGCTTTCACACCAAAGCAGAACGCTTGGGCGCCGCCACCACGTCGGACGATCTCGACCGCCGAAAGCGAAGAAGAGCCCCAGCCGCAGCGCTCTACGCCTTCGCCTGCACCCAGAGCCCCTCCCCCTCCCCTGAGGCGAGCAGAACCCGAACCCGAACCGGAGGGAGAGTGGGCGGAAGTCCTGTACGATTATGACAGCGGGGTACGTCTTAGACGCACTTTCGGGAGGCGCAGACTCGCTGAGAGCTTCAACAGGAACCCGGGGATCTCAAGATCGAGGCCAATGAAAGGGTGCTGGTGGTTGAGCGGTCGTCGGAGGATTGGTGAGTTCATAGCCCACACGCAATGTGTGCTCTGATCCAACACTGATCCTCTTCCGCAGGTGGACAGGCGAAATCGAAGGCAGGCGCGGATTGTTCCCAGCGAGCTACGTAAAAATAATGTAACGTTACCAAACGGCTGTGCAGGCTGTCTGCACACAAAGTGCGCCCGAGGTCGAAAATGAAGTCCGGACGTAAGTGCGATACATAGCGAGGCATGAATCGTGCATATGCATGATGGATACATTGCATACATGGTTTTGATGGTATGCAACAAAGAAGATACGACAACGAAGCTCCCCTAAACCTCCTTGACCTTGACGGTACCGCGGAGGAGACCAGTCTGCGATAACCATGAGCACTCGGTCCATTACGACAACATCGAGATTTATCACTTACACGGCGGGCAGCAATGAGACCGACTTTCTGACCGGGGACGGCCTGGCGGGAGATAGTGGAGGCCTTTCCAATGTGCTGGTGGTTACCACCACCGTGAGGATGGTCAACCGGGTTCATAGCAACACCACGAGTACGGGGCCAGCTGTGATGGAAGTCGTAAATCAGTACGTGAACATCTCGATTAAACCTAGTAACGTACTTGTAACGTTTGGCCTTGAATTTATAGTACGCACGGCCAGCCTTGAGCAAAGGCTTGTCGATACGTCCACCACCCGCTACGATGCCGATGGAGGCACGGGCAGAGCCAGAGACGGTCTTCTTGGCACCAGAGGGCAAGCGCACGCGGGTCTTGTTCTCTTCGGGGGAGTGACCGATGACGGTGGCGTAGTTGCCGGAGGTGCGGGCGAGCGCGCCGCGGTCGCCAACCTTCTCCTCGATGTTGCAAACGACGGTACCCTCGGGGCACTGCGAGAGGGGGAGGACGTTGCCGGGGGCGAGGGCAGCCTTCTTGCCGCAGTAGACGAAGGCGCCGGTGTGGAGACCTTCGGTGGCGATGAAGGTCTCGCTGCGGAGCTTGTAGCGGTAGGGGTCACGGAACACAACGCGGGCAAGGGGAGCACCACTGTACGGATGTGAAAAATCGTGAGCGGCAGATGATACGGGAATACGCACCGGCCGGAATCGTGGATGATGTCCTTGACCACGCCACGAATGTAGCCGTTACGCTCCGCGTAGTCGAGGGTGCGGAGGCGGGCGGGCGCCTTGTTAAGGTGCGTGTGCGCCGAGAACTACAGCCAATCCTCCCAGTTCAGCACGCGAATTAATACACCAAAGTACCGAACATACGATGGCGTGCGATCGCCTTTGTGCCCGAATGACCCTACCCATTGTTCTGTTCAAAGAGGTGTATTAGCGGGTCGTAGAGATCAAGGGAGAAGCCAAGGAACGGAGGAGCCGTGAAGCGGGACCAGAGTCATCCGTCGCCGACCAAGCAAATCCATCCAAAGACCAACGTTTCCTCTCGACCGCAGCGATCCGGCAGCATCCAACATCCATTAAGGCCTCCCGGACAGCGGATTGACGACATAGGACGGGACAGCACACTCACAGACTTTTGATACGACGGCGACGGTATCCTCTCAGCCGTTCAGTAGCACCTCGATGCCAGGCTCCTGTCCCAGTCTCCCACGCCTAGCACTGGAAGTCATACTAGGCTGTGGCGCCATTGACAAAGCTGTACGGGTGTCTCTCGTTCGTTGCTCGTGGTCCGTGGGTTGCAAAAGCATGGACTGATGACGAGGAAGGCAGAATCCAGAAGTACCAGGGGCTGGCGGCAAATTGGTAAGGTAGACTGTTATACGGGACGATATTATTTTGTCCATATATCTATAAGTAATTGAACGAGCTTTACGATATTTATCAGTCCATGAAGTTTATAATGCAATGGTACCCGTCATAGTAGAGATTAAAGGTAGGAATGTTCGAATTATGCAGTGTGCAAGCGATAAGTCCGGTGGGTCACGACGCGCCACGAATCTGTCGACGCCATGCCATCGGCGAACAGCGTTGAGCCGTATCAAACACAGGGCACTGCTATGAATCGTCGTCGTCCAACGTCAAGTCAATTGGTGAATCTGGGCGGGATCCGTGGCCGTTCGTTAAAGTGGGTGCGGGCGGAGGGGCGCGATGGGACAGCTGATGGCTAAGCAGGCGGACCGGGGAGGATTCGGTCTTAACAGCGCGGTCAGTCAAGTCAGGAGGCGAGGGTCTAACTCTCTTTCTCCTGTCGTTGTCCTCCAAAGGGGGTTCCATCTCAGAGCTGCTTCTGCTGCGGGTGGCGAAGGACCGAGCTCGAGCATCGCGAACGAGCTGCGAGAGTGGCGGCGCCTTCCTTAGGGGCTGCTTGACACTAGGGCTGAGGGGCTGCTTGACACTGTGGCTACTTTCCGCGTATGTGCTACTCGGGGACCGCGCCTGACTGCTTCGAGGAGAGTTTGCGAGTTCAGCAAGCTTGAACGTGTCCGGGTTGGACGTCTGAGTGTTGAGCGCTTGAGGATTGTGCATCGGAGGATTGTACGTCGGAGGGTTAGGCGTCGGAGGATTGGACGTCTGAGGTTGAGGCGTTTGTGTCTTCTCTCTCCGAGCCTCCTCAAGTCGCATCACATGCTTGAGCACTGTTTGGTGCGAGGTGTACCTATGGACACCCCCTGTCTAATGAGCAACTGCGAAGACGGAACGGGTAAGTGGAGTGGTACTTACCTCACTTGTATCGGTTCGTCAGGCTGACGACAGCCGAAGTTGACTGACCTCAGAAGATCGGCGACATCCTCCGTTTCTACCAAAGGGAGGGGTAACATCGCATAGGGGAAGGGGGGGAGTTAAAGGAGCGGAGGCAGATTTCCAGACATTCTCAACGCATTGCGGTCGTGGCCGTGATAGAGCGGCCATGTTGAGGGCTTTGGTGGCTGATTGAATTAACACAAGCACGCGATGTCATTGGCCGAAGTTTCACCAGGATCACTCACTGACACGGTGTCGAGTCGAACGAATATGCAGCTCGCCATTATGATTCATCGTACAGGCGGTGTTCTTGCCTTGACTGTGAGTCCGAACATGACTGACTTCATATGGCTGGAGGAGACGTATTCAACGTTATCGATATTGCGCTCGTAGACTCAGGTTGGCACTCTGCGTCAACAACTATCTCGTGAATACGTCTTGAAACTCAGGCTGGGTCACGGAAACAGAGGGAGCGAACGGAACGTGGCCGAGTAAGGCAACCCATTACTCGAAGGCATTGATGACCCCGGATGCTTCAAGCGTTCTGGCTTGAGCATCGAACGTATCTAACAAACACGGCACATATCTCTCGGATCTTGAACGTTCAACACGTAACCCGCGCTCAACCTTCATGCTACATGCAGTGCTTCAATTTGGGCGCCGAGCGGCTGAGGCCTGAGGTCAGATCTGCCAAATATTAGGCATGAGACCGCGTCAACATAAAGGCAGACGGACGAGATATGCAGTGGACACATCTGAGCAGTCTCTGCGTCGTCGAGAACAACGGGAGGCATACGAGTGCGCGACAAAAAGTCAGTGAGCATATATTCATCCTTTGCGAGTCGGAAACTTACTTCACCCCTCCTAAGGCATACCCGCACCTGCGATCAAGTTTGCATGACGGGTCCTCGACTTCTGTTCCAGACTCCTCCCCTCCGCAAGAAGCACTCCTCCGGTGGAGCCAGCTCGTCTGAGACCGTTAGCCTTGCATGCTATTGGCACCTCCGGAACATCGCTAAGGCTGCGACGTCAGCATGAGTGAAACAAGGTTGTGGTGTGGGTCCACTCCATTGCAAATAGGGGTCCCTCTCAAGTTATCAGTGTCCTTAACCATACCTTGGCTGCCCACCTCCGCGCCCTTCGTCTCATGCCGACGTACCAGGGAATCGGCGTTTCCGGGACTACTATCATGTCGCTCGATCCTCGTGGTGAACTACTCGCAGTGCGCAACGTAGCCAACGGACCCAAGAAGGTCGTCGTCCAGGAGGAGAACATTCGCCGCGTGTCCGTGATGCCATCTATCGTCGGAAAGGCACTTCCTGCCGCCCCGCCTCCGCAAGGGCTCCCGAGCATCGACGCTAACCGGTATGTTGAGTTCGGACTCAGGACGGGATTGGATGTCACCTTGACAATCTCATTCCGTTCAGCCACCACTTCCCTCTGTCTTCCGCGAAGGACTCACGCCCATGTACACCTCCGCCTCGCGTTCGACAACGCGTCTCTGGCACCCCTACGCCGCCGCCTTCGCCTCCGAAAGCCCGCGCGAAGGCGAGCAACCTTCCCGCTCTTCCCTCGCCCAAGACGCGCTTTCCCATCGCGAATCCGACGCAAAAGGCCCTCGCTCCCGCAACTACTCGTCTTTCCACCTCTCAGGCCCCGGGAATTCCACGACCCGCAATCCGCGTGCGTCCAAAGTCGTTGCCACAGCGACCGACCGCGCAGCACCTTCCCCTCGCCCCACGCTCTCCTCCTCTACCCAAGTGCGTGGTGAAACGGGACCTCTTCAGCCCCGGGCCCGAACCCGGTCTTCACCGCGGTATCCCTCTCAAACCGAAAGTCTCGCCTTGTCAGTCTCCGAAGACCCCTGTGCACATGCTACCGCTCCCTTCGCGCGCTGCGCCGACTCTGGGAGACGTCTGTCCGCAAGTGGGCAGAGGCAGTTTTGTCCGGTCCCGGACCCGGGCTTGATTCGCGGCGCTTTGGATGGACTTACGTTTCGAAGGACTTCAGACGTTGGACTCTTTTCTTGTATTCGTGGTGTATTCGTTCTCGCATCATTTGACTGTGTATTGCTAATGTAACATATGACGCCGCGATGTTTACTTTCGTTTCATGTATTATGGCCAGCATCCTGTGGCCTGCGAAATTACGAATATATTGGTGCTCAATCATCTTGCACCGCATCGGAACTTGTCCGGATCTGTATCTATCCAGCAGGGTCATCAGCTTCCCGTGTGTATACATACACATTGGTGTTTCTAGCTCGAAGCTGGACTGCTGCACGCGCTCACATCGCCAGTGAACTGGCGCATCTTACACTGCCCATCGATATGATACTTGGGCGCTCAGAACCGCTGCCTAACCGCCCCTCCATACTCACATGCTCACACTTGAGCCGAATGGGGATCCCGCGAAGGTATAACGTACCGATCTTTGCACTGAATGTGCTTAATCCGTGGAGTCTCTGGACGCTCCATCAGCGGCGGTACGTATACGAGCCCCGATCTTCGGTTCACACCGAACACACAAATATACGGTCGACAATGCTATGCCTCTGTCAACCCCCCCCCCCCGGCCGTTCTCATTGACTAGAGATTCACATTCCTTAACTCTTTGTGCAAGTAGCTACCACCAACGCCGCTCCCGATATGCTCGGGATCCTGGTCCCTGTCATCCTCCTTGACTTCGTTTTCCGGATACACTGGCACTGCGACGCCCGACAGGTTAACCGCACGATCGATGATGCACTCGGAGACTTCAGCACAGGCCTTCGTCCAACCTATTCGGCGGTAAACTCCGTCAGCCAGTGGTCTTACGGACCGAACTGTACCGTGTGCGCATTCAAGCCCAACGTGTCCAAGCTCTTCGATGGAGGATGGTACGAAACGTCGGTTTTTGTAGGCAGTACCGCGCCGGAGCCATCTATGACATTCGAGTTCAATGGCACGGTCAGTAAAACTCGTTCCATGAAAGGACATGCCTAACACCGCTGTACAGGCGGTCTGGATCATCTCGATGCTGCCGCTGTCCGTTCCAGCTCCAGACACCGGATCTATAAACGCGACTATGATCATCGACGGAGGTCCTCCCACGCGATTTACGCATACGTCTGGAACGAGCGACCAGCCGATCTTCGGTTACAATTTCACCATATTCGCGAATACCGACTTGGATCAGGGGTTGCATAAGGTCGAGCTCACGGCGCATGCCGGGATTACCGGATCGTATCTGTCATTCGACTACGCCGTCTATAGGTGAGTTTTGTCCCCAATGTCCGTGGTCGTAAGTTGACAATCACTGTTTTAGCACCACTGAGGACGACATCACCAGCCCAACTCCACTTAGCTCAAGCCTGGTCACCACGAGCAGCTCCGGTACGGAAAGTCCGACCCCTATCAGTTCGAAACCAGTGAGCCCCAGTCCGACCAGTACAAGTTTGGCCAAGAAGTCGTCGAGTTTTCCCAAGGGCGCTGCGGCAGGCATCGTCCTCGGTTGCCTTGTAGTTGTGCTCGCTCTGGGACTCTTGGCGCGGCGCTTCTTCAAACGACGCAATGATCCCGAACTTGAAGGAGGCGTCCGAGCCATTCCATTTGACTCAGAGATCAAGCCTGATGCTCGACAAGCACCTCCAGTTCTCTCCATCGTACCCTTAGACTATGCAAGCCCGCTTTCCCCATCGAAAGGCAGAAGGGCCGACCAAGACATTCCCTATGGTTCCCCGGTCTCCTCCATTCCAACATCGAGTATAATCGCCACGTCAACGACGAACCCCGTTGGCTCCGAGGAAAACTTGCTTCGGGACCAGTTGCAGGCGCTGCAAGTCGAGGTTGAACGGATCCGAGCAGATCAGATGCCGCCTGCGTACAGCAGTCCACCAGAAGTTGTAGAAGCTCCAACACAGAGAGCCAGGCCCTTACCACCGAGTCCGAGGCCAAAGTAGGGCTCAGTGACCTGCAGATCACCAGTCCGCGCTGGTAGATTTCTCCAGAGGGCTATGTGTACCATCGCCTTTCGCAGGCGTCCTCGGGAAACATGCACGGTATTTCGCAACAGTGTTGATCTTTTCCTTTTTGCACGGTAGTATGTTGAGGACGTTGAAACTTTATTCGAATCGCCTTCCGATTGCCAGCTTGCATCCTTGGAGCAATAAGTTCGGATGCTGTAACTTGACGTATGCGCTGGCATGCGTTATACCTCTGAGTTGGTATATGTGGATGCCACTGGATGGAGGAGAGCAGTGCCGAAGAGAAGCGGATTCTCACGCGAATGCAGTTGCAGCTTGCGCTCATCGTAGCAGCCACGTGCACCAGCTGGGTATCGCCTCAGTGCCAGAGCCTCAAAGTAACTAGTACAGATTACGGAGTGGATTCGAAAGTCGATTATGGTCGCGGATTATGGTCGAATCGAGTGTATGACTCATGATATACATACGGAGAAGAGTAATAGACCAGATTTGCAGCTGGTATATACTGCGAAAGTCGTACCAGTGGTAGTCATGAAAAATACTGCGCCTCAGCCGAGTTTTATCATCTATCACCTGCGGGCGGCATACTGTATAATGATCAACGTCATGGTATATACTACGGTGGAGCACAGAAAAAAACAAAGAAGTATATAGGTGTAGCTCATGTTCTGTCTAACCAGTTTTTCTGACACCATGTCTTCGCCTTTCTGTGACTTGACGAACAACGGCGACGACACCGGAGGTGACCCGCACGTTGACACAGCCGCAGCTTTCGACGAGTTCGCCAAACCACCGCGTACAATTCATCCCTACGCTGACCCCGACTCCGTTGACCCTTGCGCCTCCTGATTTCACGCAAACTGGCGACATCTATGGAGCTGGTGCCTATCTGCAGTCTG